CGGAAGCCTCTAGCATTTTCCAGTAGCGGAGTTGAACTAATATAAATAGCCGGCGTATCAGCGCCGAGCGGAGTTTAATGTAGAATGTTGTATTAAAAAGTTAAAGTGTAAGAAATAAATTAGAATTGTTAGTTAGTGTCTAAATATTACATAGATTAAATAGTACGTCTGAAATAAATTGTAAATAGTGTGTTTTTAAATAAATAAACTTTAAATAAATTAGACTTTCGTCACAATACGAATATTCTGTTATTGAAATGGGAAATGTCAAAATCTTGTAAACAAAAATTTTAACAGATTTTAAAAAACTTGTTATTACTTCAATATATCGATAGCCCAATAGCCCAATATATGTATTTTTTGATGACCTACAAAACTTTCTTAAATAGAGAGAGAAATTGCTGATATTAACATAATTATAGGTGCGAATGACGAACAAATAGAAAATTACAAAAATATGGAGTATCATAACTACATATCTTACATTAACAATATAACCAGACCTGATAGTTCAACTTGTTTGGACCATTTTTTTGTTAAATCCAATCCACTGAAACATAAACAAATAAGATCGTTTATTTTTCATGATAAAATCACTGACCATCGTCCCATATCACTTGTACTTGATTTAAAATTAGAAAACAAGGTATCTAATATTTTTACAAAATAAATATTTAAATAATAAAAACTTAATAGAAGGTTTAAAATTAAAATTTTAAAATCTCATTTAAACAAAACTACGAAAGAAATAAAAATATTCAAAAAAATAAGCAATGGATAATTAAAGAATAAGGTAAAAAGTATAAAAAAAACTAATGAAAAACCCCAAACAGATTAATTAAAAATGCAAAAAAATCATTTATTCAAAGAAAAATAAATAAAAGTACTAATAAGTCGAAATCATTATGGAATTGTATAAATTATATCTGTATCAAAACCAAATACAAATTTAAATTTACCCGATTTTGACTTTTACCCTGATTTTGACTTAAACCCAGATTTTGACTTTTTAAATTTGTCCTATTTTGACGTTTTTACTGATTTTGACTTTTTTCAATATTTATTCTATTCCTGATATGAACACCTAAATATTATTTAAGTTGTTATTGTAAATATATATAATTAGTATACTGGATTAAAAATTCATTGTTAACAGCGCGTATAAGCGATATTTTTACTGCTTCTGTGCTTTAACCTGTTTATTTATTGTGTTGAATATTTTGTTAATTAACTTTATATTGTATTTTTTTATTAGTAAATTAAAATAATACATATTGTTATTATTAAAATAACGCAATTTTGGTTCCACTGACAATTAACTTCTAACCAAACTTTTAACAAAAACAACATTGAATTTGACATATACGTTTTTACAGGTTTTAGTTTTATTGTCTACAGATAAAATAGTTTAAAAGTATGTAATTGGTAACTAAATTATTGTATATTTGATATGCATGTTATATCTTACATTAGGAGTATATTTATAAAAGTTAAAAAGCGATATAATTTAGGTAAATGAATAAAACGCACTTCAAAAAGCCTTCTGTCACTTTAATAGTCAGTGGAACCAAAATTACATCATTACTAAATTATCGTATTAAAGAGTGATCCACAAAAATGTTTTCTAAAGTAGACCATGGCCGATAAAAATAGATATACGAGTCATGTCCGTAATAAATAGCGAAGACTTTAAATTGAATCCAAACAAATTTTTGGAAGGGCTACATTAGAATAGTAGTTTATGTAACAAGAGTGAATATGGTCAATCCACTCGAGTTGTACAGTATATTTTTTCTACGACCCACTAACAAAAATCTACAAATTTAAAACATTATTTTAGGTTATTAAAATTACTAATTTTAAAATAATTTATGACTTTTACTAATATATAAAATAAAATAAACATGAAAAAAGTGTTAATTTAATTATTAGTCCCATCCAGATTTGAATCCTCACCTCCACTCCCACATTTAATATTTTAGTTTTAAATCTCGTAAATTAATTAGTTTCATATAGTTTTATTAAAATTAACGAATTATTTACAATTATAGACGAAATAAAAATAGAAATGCTATTATTTATCGATTTTTAACAAAAATAACTCATACAGATCCATTCACGATACTACGAACACGGTCATACTGATGACCAATTTACCCTTGTCCGCTACTGTCATTCCAAAGCTTTCGCATGTGACATATTTGGAATAACTTTATACATTTTATAAATAAATGAAGATAAATAACAAACATAACATATTCAGACATGGAAATAGCGAAATTTAATAATGCAACCATTAACCAGAAATTGTAATAATAGACAAAATTTTGAACAAATTTAATAGTTGTTGACGTAGCCATTGAGTAAACGAATATAACACGTAGCGCAGTGGGTAAGGTGTTGTACTTACAGTCTTCCTACGCGGATAGAGGTAGGATCGAATCTCGGCGCCGACGTTTTTTTTTTATTTTTTTTTTATTTTATTAATTTTCATTTTCTTTTTTCATTTCTTTTTTTTTTCTCTTTTTTTGAGACCCTCCACAATAGTAAGAACAGCAACAGTTTAAAATTTATAAAAAACAACTTTGATTTTGTTTTCAAATGGAAAAAATTCAATACAAACATTAAAAAATAGAGAACAAACATTGAACATTAAAAAAAAACAAAACGAACTTTAAAAAATTACATAACTAAGATTAAAAAAAAATACAAAACTAAGATTAAAAAATTACAAAACAAATAAAAATTATAAAATGGAATCCAATAGACAATAATAAATTACAATCAATAATAAAAGAAAACGAATTTATTTTTAATGTAATAGGTGCTCAAATAGACCTCCTTCTTGGGCAAGACAGTACCCCAAGCGATCGTAAAATGATCGCCTTACTTCAGCCAACATATGGGGACTAATAAGTTGAATGGCTTCTGAAATTTTCACTTTCAGCTCATCTAAGTCGTTAGCTCTTTCTTCCCTGAATTTGTATATCTGAGACTTTAAATAACCTCACAAAAAAATCACAAGGTGCGAGATCCGGTGATCTAGCTGGCCACAGAATTGTACCTTTCCCTGATAATAATCTGTTGGGAAATGTTTCATTTAAAAAGTGCTGCGCCGTCACACGATTATGCACAGAACATTCGTCTTGTTGAAACCAAATATTGTTAAATCGAGCTCCTGTCAATCGCCGTATCTCAGGGACAATATGGTGTCTGAGTAAATCCAAATATTTAACACTATTTAAATTACCCTCAATATAAAAAGGACCGATTACATTTTCACCTAGTATTCCCATCCAAACATTCAACTTTTGCGAACTGCGTGCGAACTGTTACAAATTTATGTAAATTTTCTCGAGACCAATATCGGACTTGGGATGGATTATGCCTGGCAAGTAATGGAAAAGTCGACTCATCGGTGAACACAACATTGTAAAGAAAATTGTTGCCATTGTTAACTTTATCCATTACTGCCTCGCTAAATTCCATTCGTCTGATATTGTCAGTTTCATAAATTTCTTGGCATTTTCTTACTTTATAAGATCGATATCCATGTTTTTTTAAAATTCTATTTACTGTGGTTCCACTGGAACCTACAACTTCCGCAACCTCTCTCTGAGATATCATCGGATTTTCTTCCACAGTTGCACAAATCATAATATCTTCTTGTTCATTCTTGTTCTTTCTGATTATTATTAACTCGAGCCTATTTATGTTCATTGGGAGAAACGCAGCCATGAATTTCAAAATTTTGAACAATACGATGTACTGTTGAGAGTGATGGTATGGGCCTATTTTGAAATGTCGCCTCAAACAAACCGCTTATTTGTCGAATTGTGTTGCCTTGAAAATGCCATTTCACAATTTGTACTTGCTCAGCAATTTCGTGAACATTCATTTTAAATCTAAAGAAATACTTTTCGCCCGCGATAAAAGCACAAAATTTGAATGTGACAGTTACGGACAAGCGTCAATTGGTCATCATGTTTACCATGTTCCTAGTACGATGGATGAATCTGTATAATGTAAATTAGTTTCACCGAATTGTCACTTATTTAAAATTTTAAAAATAATAGTAGTTGGGTGACCAAAATATGAGCTGTGATTGGTGGAGTTCATTTTTTTTGCAGTGTTCTCACTACCTAGAATGGTAATGAAATATGTTCGTTCTGCTGAATACAATGTCATGCTTTTTCGTTTTGTAGTCTGTGCGTAGATAAGTTAATATCCATGTGGGTGTATAAAAACATTTTTTACACCCACATGGATATTAGAACAGACTACAAAACGAAAAAGTATGCCATTGCGTTCAACTGAACAAATATATTTCATATCCATTCTACCTAGTGAGAACACTGCAAAAGATGAAATTCGTCAATCATAGTTCATAGTTTGGTCACCCGGCTACTATTATTTTTAAAATTTATATAAGTACCAATTCTATCAAACTAATTGTCAGTATATTTTAGATTTTAAATTATATATACTTAGTGTAGAATCGATAAATAATAGCATTTTTACTTTTATTTTGCATTCATTTACAAATAAATCATAAAATTTTATTCAAACTACCTATATAAAATTATTTTAATTACAAGTATTTAAACTAAAATGTTAAGCGTTTCGATATAGGCGTCTGGCTTTCATGCGAGAGGCCCGGGGTCAAATCTGGGACGGGGACTAATTAAATTAAATCCTTTTTTTATATATATTTTATTTTATAAATTAGTAAAAGTCATAAATTATTTTAAAATTAGTTATTTTGTCTTAAAAACCTAAGATATTTTTTTAAATTTATCCACTCTTGTTGCACAAACTACTATTGTGAATCGCTTTAAATTATAATACGATGTATTCAGATTAATCTCTAAAAGTAAACAAAGGTTGATAAAAAAATAAAATATGAAACTAAGAGGGGGGAGATCAAAACTATGCGGATGGTCAAAAATAGCATAATATCTAGGAGAAACAATTTTTTTACTATTATTATTATTTTTCAGATATAGATCGGCCTATGTCAAACATCGTGAACAAAATCATAGAGCTAGACTACCAGCAGATAAATTATTCTCCTGTGACGTATGCGGCATGCAGTTTCGTTATCTCAAGTCTTTCAAAAAACACCGCTTAAATCACGCTTTAGAAAAGTTACACGGAAAAAGCGCCGAGGTAAGTCTCAAAAATTAATTTCTCTATAAAAAGTCAATTATACACCATCCCCTTTCAATTATTCGAGATATTTTGGATCTTCTGTCATGAAATAAAGTAGATGTTGACAGCAGCTAGACCAAGTACAAATAGGTTTAGGTCTTATTCATATTTAGCTACCCCAGGTATTCTAGAAAGATCAAATCTAGAACCGTTATTATTTTAATATTAATAAACGATCTTCCTTTGAAATTAGACTGCTTTCGCTCATGTTTGCCGACGACCTAAAACTTTACTGTAAAATTAGTGGTGCAAAGGATAGTTACAAATTGCAGCAATCATTAAATACTTTTAACAGTTGGTGCTTGGAAAATTCGTTACAGCTCAATATTTCTGAATTTAAAATTGTCTAAGTTTCTCGTCTCAAAGATCACTTTGTATTTGATTAACAATAATTAGGTTTTACAACGGTGTAACACATATTTAAATTTTGACAACTAATTTATTTTCAGTTGCCATATTGGAGCTATAACTGCTGCAACTTCTAAACTGCTAGAATATTGTGCTAGAAACGGTCTAGTTTTGTTAATATTGAAACTTTTATAGTAGTTTACGTTATAAGCCCGTTTCTAAGATCTTTACATGCGAGCAGGTAGAGATCAGGTAACGGGCGTGTAACGTACAACGTTTTATGATATACTGTAATATACTACGTTTTACAACCTAAAATCAAATAAAATTTTATCATTTGACATTATCATTACAAGTTTCAGTCAGTCATAACTGTTGTTAAAGTTTTTAATGGGCTAGCCCGTTATGATTCCCTTAACAACCATAAACAGAGGTTGATTACCACGGTATAACATTGTAGTATATCATAAAATTATTATAATCTATCAGAACTCGATATATTCCATTGAAGCTGTACAAAAATAATTCTTGCAGTATACTCGTATGTATTTTAAGTATTCTAGGGAAAGAGAATTTAATCATGAGGAATTGCTTCAAATATTTGACGTAGAACATTGACTTATAAAAACTCCCAGGCCAGATATTTTGGTAAGTAATAGAGATATTTTAATTCTGCAAAAGCCAGTTCACAGAGCACTAAGAGAACTTTAGTTTTAGATATAAATTAATTTTAAATAGGTCAATGTATAGATGGCGTTGCGCTTAATAAATTTTTTTCGATGGGAGGATCTTTCTTACGTAGCGCATCTTGTGAAAAATGCATTTTTAAGCAGATTTTGTTCTATGAACTAATTCTATAAATCTAGCCATTTTTGATATACAAAGTGGGTAACTCAAAACAGTCTCATCCTGTTTTTCAGCATTAATCATTGGATTTTAAGAAAATGCTAAAACACGTCGATTCTTATACCAAATTAAAAACATTTTTACAATATAGACATCTGTCATGTGTCACCCCCTCCCTTGCACTTCACCAACACCTTAATTTTAAATAAGTAATGTACCATCCCTAATAGCACAGTACTGTTTCACGAACGTTCCAGAAACATGCACTTGGGACATTAGAAACGTCTCTGTCATGTTTCTTATTTTCCCTCAAACGTACCTGGGATGTTTCTGGCAATGATCATGTCATCATTTTCAACGTATTAGAGACGTTTGTGGAACATCCTGCGATGTTCAAACGTCTTAGGCAAGTATTTATACCACTGCTGGAACGTTTCAGAAATGACCTAAACGTTTTTTAGTAGGATAATAAAATCTATCACTTCTTTTCATAAATTTACTTAAAAAAAAATTGATAAAAAAATAAAAATTGTTATTTATTACGCTTTGATTCATTGCGTCTATTTCTTTCCGGAGCTTACAACCAGGCATCTATTTTAATTTCTATTTCTTTTTTGTTTACCAATTTACCGAATCTGAAAAGATTTTAATTAATTGACAATATAATTAATTGATATTAAGTTAAAATAATTACCCATAATGGCTTTAGCTATTTTTAACATGGCGACTTCCTTTTTTCCAGTGCATGAAAATAACTTGTACCTTGAGGGGAGCTATGCATCTTCTGATAAATTCACATACAATATTGCTACCGTGGATTTCAAAATACAATACCTAAAATAGACTAGAATGTATAAAAGCCACATTTTGTTAAAGGAAATTAAGTTACCTTCTTCATTTTGGCTTGAATAGCTTGCACGTATAACGATTGTTTCTACATTTGCCAAGCCTGATCAAACTTCGAATTGGAAGTGTGTTACGGGTTTTATTCTACCTAAATATATTTTAGTCTAAAATACCCTAATTTTACACTATTCTAACTTATTCTATCTATCTATCTTATTCTAAGCTACTCTAAACTAAACTAGACTAAACTACACTATTTTAAATTATTCTAAGCTTGACTATTTACATTATTCTACTTCTAAACTATTCTACGCTTAACTATGTACACTATTCTACTTCCATTTGATTCTTATATACCCTAACCTACTCTAATTACTAAACTACCCTATTACTTACCTATTCTACTATAACCTATGCTAATCTCTTTAGTTATCTTTAGATTTAAGATTGTACGGGTATATAAATCCAGAGTATAAATTCATAAAATATCCATTTTTATCAAACAGTAATTTGCATTAAAATATAATCTCACCTGGGTTATTATCAATAGTATTTAGTGCATTCAATAAATAATAATTTATAGTCTAAGTAAATATATTTCGCTACTTCGAGTAATGACTACAGATCTTTTAAATATTAAACAACTTTAAATTTGGTTTGTTATTGTTTTCATGTCTAATTTGACCCCCTTCGTCAAATTCTTCTAAATTTGTAAATAGTGACCACAGTCTTACCAGAAATTATCCTATGAACCTTTGGTAGTCAGGGCCTTTATAAGACATTGACTTTTGTTGCCATTTTGTAGAACTTCCTTCCTGGGCCAGTTTTTGCTTGGATTCTGGTTATGGCATGTACCAAGATTTCAGCTAGAATTTTCTAGGATTTATTCTTGATCAAAAACCACAGATTCCCTCAGCTCGATATATTGTTTAGTAATCTTTGTGATTCATACACCTAGTGGTGGATATAGTATCGGGCTGAAAGTGAGAATTTAATAAATTAATAACTAAGAGGTCACATACCATCAAGGGTGAGTTTTTCAAAATAAATTATTATTTCACTTACCTATATTCCCAACAGCCTTCTGTATAAATAATCGTAACAATCGTCAATGTTTTTCAGACCTCCTTGGTTCGCTTCTTCCATTCGTGCGTTCCTTCCTTGTTCGTTCGTTCCTTCTTGGCTTCGTTGTGTTCTCGAAGACCTTCAAACAGTAAGACCATCGGCGTGCAAGTTTCCCGGTTTTTGAACCATTAAATAAGCAGGCCATCAGCTGTTGCCGTTTTGCCGCTCGCAAAGAAATCGCCCACAGACAAGCTAGTTCTTGTTAGGCTATCGTTTGCTGCCAATCTACCTTCATAACCTGTCGCAGGATATCTGGACACCCACTGTGGTTATTTCAAGACCAAAACCCCGGATTTTCAAGTAAGACGGTCTCTGTTTATTTGTTTTGCGAATTGAGCCCCATTTAGTGTTCCGACCTAACCTCATCCGGTCTGGGGGCATTCCCTACGACGGTAGCAATTTACATAAAGTGTAAATATTAATTATAAGTTCAAATTTAATATTGGAGTTTGATATTATTGTAGATTTCAGGTGATTGCAGTAATTTTATAATTTCAATATAAAATTTAAAACGAAAATAAAATACCTGTACATAAATACGATGTGTCTAAAACGTTCTTGAGAAATCATTCCAGAAACGTTTCTTTAGAGACATCGTAGGGACGTACCATTTATGTCAGAAACATAGAAACATACATGGAACCTAAATGGGATGTTTCTGGCAGATCATTGTATCGCCTTCTATCCGGATAAAAAACTACGTATTATAAAGTGACACCTTATTTGAAAGCAAATTTAATTACTAATTTAATGCACTACATACCATTAATATAAATATCCTCCATATTGCACTTGCAGTTTGAAAATTACTCATGAATTATTTTAAACATTATTGCTCTTTATTTTGTTGCAAGTGCAATATGGAAATATTTATATTAATGATATGTGGTGCATTGAATTAGTAATTAAATTAGCTTTCAAATGAAGTGTCACACCTTATAATACGTTACAGGTTTTTTTATTCCGATAGAGGGCGCTAAAATTAAAAGTATTAAACAGTCATATTTATGACTTCGCCATAAAATTACCTTTTTATTGATGTGCCGTACTTGGTACATTCCTCATATAAAATTAAGGGGTTGGAGAAGTGAAAAGGAGGGGGTTGACATATGACAGATGTCTGTTTTGTAAAAATGTGTTCAATTTAGAATTAAAATCGACCTGTTTTAGCATTTTCTTAAAATCCAATGATTAATGCCGAAAAACAGGATGGAACTGTTTTGAGTGACCCACTCTGTATATCAAAAACAGCTAGATTTATCGAATTAGTTTATAAAACAAAATCTGCTTAAAATGCATTTTTTACAAGATGCGCTATTATATAAGAAAGATCCTCCCATCGAAAAAAAAAAAAATTGAGCGGAGCGCCATCTACATTTTGACCTATTTAAAATTAAATTATATCTAAAACTAAAGCTCTCTTAGCGCTCTATGAACTGTCTTTCACAGAATTAAAATATCTCTATTACTTACCAAAATATCCGGCCTGGGAGTTTTTATTGGTACACCCTGTATGTATATTGAGTAAAATTAATTTTTCTTTGGTTAGAATTTACTTAATCATGCAGTGAACCTTTTCTACAATCTATCTTGCACAATGTTTAACAAAGTATGTACCTATGTATCTGTGATATTAATAACGATAACATACACAAAATTCTTAGCATTTACCGAAGAAATAGAGCTAATTCATTAATTTTTTTCTATTCAAAAGCATACATTCTTCCATTTTATAGCATTGTTTTCTTTATAATTAAGTATAATTTTAAGTTTTTGTTCATACGTAGATACTAAATATTTTTTTTTTTCTAATTTTGACATGTAAAGTGGCATTTTTTTTGTTATCGCAGCAAGTGTCAAAATGATCTACTTTATGCAACCAGTTGCATAATATTGAAGATTATAAAACTGGTTACGAAAAATTCATCAAGTCACCAGTTGCGAATAAAAATATACTCTTTTTGGTTTTAAAATCAAAATGGATTGAAAAGTTCGTGGCCTTACCTATAAAATTAAAAAGTATTTGGATAACTTATGTTTTATTTTTCTACGTAATCCTCCTCGAGCGAGATACATTTACGCCACCTCTCCGGTAACGCTTCTATACCACTTTTAAAAAATGATTCTTTGAGTTCTGCAAAATACCCCAGTACAGTACTTTTCACGTCTTATCCGAAGATGTGTGAACGCGGGCATTGTCCTGATGAAACAATACCTTTCTTTGCAGCAATCCGGGCCTTTTAATTTTAATTTCTTCTCAGTAAGGTGCAGTAGTATTCAGAATTATTAGTCTTTCCCTTTTCCAAGAAATCAATCAAGAAAATTGATGCCATAACCTTGTTTGCCGATAAAACTTGTTTGGCTTTCTTTGGGGTAGGAGATCCAGGTCTTTTCCATTGCTTTGATTGTTGTTTTGATTCCGGTGTATGATGGTGTACCCATGTCTCGTCCATAGTCATAAATATGTCAATAAACTCATCCGGATCACTTTCAAACAGTTCCAAACAATCACGAGTCGAGTGCGTTTATGTTCAATTGAAAGCTACTTGGGTACTTGCGGACACCTGAGAAAACCCTAATTCGTTTACGATAACGTTTTGTGCTCGTTTATAGGAAATACCCAGAGTATTGGCTATCTCACGGATTTTGATTCTGCGGTCACTCAAATTTTATTGACATTTTCTGTTGTGGTCGACGTTAAAGGCTTACCACTGCGGGGATCATCTTCAATGCTATTTCTGCCACACTTAAATTCAGCTACCCACTTTTTCAAAGTGGAATACGAGGGAATACAAGCGTCTCTACCATGTCCGTATGAATTTGCTGTGGTGTTAAGCCCTTTTTATGCAAGTACTTAATGACAGCACGATGCTCTCTTTTCTCCATGTCAAAAATGTTCGTGGCTTCCTAAAACTTAACGCCTCATAGACTCCTCACCTTAAACAATAAGAAATTAAATTTTACACAGTTACTACCAAAAGACACTGCTATGCAACTAATGTATAAAAACTAAAATTAATATCTTCCTTCCTTCATCATATTTACATTATTATTGAAAATTTATGTCAAAGAAGGGAAATATTGACAATATAAAATAGAATTTGATTAAACTGACAGCCTGGTAATAATGTTGTTTTGGTCCTTATTTTTTATTCTATATATCAGTACAAAATAATTTAAACACAATACATGATAAAATGACCCACTTTCTTGAAAACTAAATCACTTTAACAAGCAATATAAATACACTACAACATGTAGTTGGGAATAAATTAAAATGATTTTTTATTTGTCAATAAAATTAACGAAGTTGTGCATACGCTACTAACAATACAAGAAAGTAATATTGGTTGCGTAAATGTCAGTATAATTTTTTACCAAAACAATTTTATTTAATAACCTAAACAAAATTAGAAAAACTATTGTATGTAACACGTTACGAAATGCCGTTTTGTTTAACTCGTTTATGTTGCGGGACCTCGCTCTGCTCATCCCGCAAATATTCACTCGTTACATAAAACAAGGCATTTCGTAACTAGTTGCATAAATAGCTATAATTTTGATATTAACCGACTTCAAAAAAGGAGGAGGTTCTCAATTCGTCGGAATATATATTTTTTTTATGTATATGTTTTAATATATTTTTTACTACGTTATCCGATTTCTATGATTCTTTTATTTTGTTAGAAAGGAAGTACCTCAGGGGTGGTCCCATATACATTTCGTTAAGATCTAATGTGTTAAATATTTGGATTTACTCAGATCCAAATATTTAACACTATTTAAATTACCCTCAATATAAAAAGGACCGATTACATTTTCACCTAGTATTCCCATCCAAACATTCAACTTTTGCGGGAACTGCGTGCGAACTGTTACAAATTTATGTAAATTTTCTCGAGATCAATATCGGACTTGGGATGGATTATGCCTGGCAAGTAATGGAAAAGTCGACTCATCGGTGAACACAACATTGTAAAGAAAATTGTTGTCATTGTTAACTTTATCCATTACTGCCTCGCTAAATTCCATTCGTCTGATATTGTCAGTTTCATAAATATCTTGGCATTTTCTTACCTTATAAGATCGATATCCATGTTTTTTTAAAATTCTATTTACTGTGGTTTCACTGAAACCTATACAACTTCCGCAACCTCTCTCTGAGATATAATCGGATTTTCTTCCACAGTTGCACAAATCATAATATCCCTATCTTCTTGTTCATTCTGATTATTATTAACTCGAGCCTTTTTATGTTCATTGGGAGAAACGCAGCCATGAATTTCAAAATTTTGAACAATACGATGTACTGTTGAGAATGATGGTATGGGCCTATTTTGAAATGTCGCCTCAAACAAACCGCTTATTTGTCGAATTGTGTTGCCTTGAAAATGCCATTTCACAATTTGTACTTTCTCAGCAATTTCGTAAACATTCATTTTAAATCTAAAGAAATACTTTTCGCCCACGATAAAAGCACAAAATTTGAATGTGACAGTTGCGGACAAGCGTCAATTGGTCATCATGTTTACCATGTTCCTAGTACGATGGATGAATCGGTAGAAAGACAAGAATTTATCAAATCTGGCCCTTCCCTGACTGTTTTTATTGAGATTATATTATTCTAGATCGCTAAAGAAGCCAAAGCCAATACCGATGAAGAGGTTGAGGATGAAAAGGGGATACACGAGAATAGTAACGATCAAGTGTCCAGTTCGAATGAGACCATCAACGTAGAAGAAGAAAATAATCCGATCGTTGTTAAAAAAGAAGTTACTGATGACGTCACAGGTAATCATTAAAATATACCTATAGTATGTTGCAAATATTTTAACATGTCCGATGAACAAGTCCAAACATATTTTTCAAAAGTGCAAAATTGTTGTGCTAAATTAAGTTAAATAAGTTGGCTGAATTTCTGATAAACAAAGGTGAAATATAGTTTAAAAAAGAAGAAATAAATGACTAGATTTTCTGATTAATAGAGAGTTATTGCAAGTTCACTTAAGGTGCGTTTTAATCATCCGCTTCTGCTTCGGAATAGTCGGTTTTCTTGTTTTAATCTGATAGGTTAAAACGACTAAACCGACAATTCCAGAAGCAGAAGCGGATGATTAAAACGAACCTTTAAGGTCAGTCACTATTAGTGCCGCTCTTATTTTGACATCTGAGCATGCGCAGATCACTAACTTTAATAAAGATTGTCTGTCCTTAATAAGAGAGTTATTGCAAGTTTACTTAAGGTCAGTCACTATTAGTGCCGCTCTTATTTTGACATCTGAGCATGCGCAAATGTTTACGTTCTAAAACTGACTTTATTAAGGATTGTGCATGTCCTTAATTGTGGATGTTTAAGGGCAGCAGGTAGTGGCGACTTTATAGTTTTCGGATGCGCTTGTCGTTAGAAGTTTTTTAATATTAAATATTTAATATAAAAATATGAGTTTAATAAAGAAATTATAACTTTAAAAGCCCAAACATAAGATCCTCACACTTATAATTTTATACTAATAACACAATTTGAACAATTACTTATAGAAATGTTAGGATTTGCTACCTTGCTCTGTTGTAAGTTGCTACGAACTTCTACTAACTCCGTATGATTTGGGTTACTGCTGGAAGGTGTATGCTCAAAAGAATCGGTATGTAAATTTGAACATTCAGCTGTGCGACTAGTAGAAGGCATATCAGAATTGACAATTTTTTTGGCGATTTTCATTTTATTTGCCACAGAATCTTCAATATAACCTTCTGCCACCGTTGTAGACTTCCAACCAGCATGTCGCTTTATGTTAAGGATATCCTCACCTGCATTAGCTAACAAAGTTGCTGAAGATCGTCTAAAACAATGGCCTGTGTAGTCTTTTGGAGTAGGCAATTTTAAATAAGTTGCTATTTTAAAAGGAATTTGACCAAATGTATTCTTTCCAACCACCTAACTGGAACATTTTCCATTACGATAATACACAAAAAAACGTCCGTGGTTGGTACTTGTCGTACGTAGTGAAGCATATTTTCGATATAAGTCGAGATAACTTGGTGATTCCTGCTCTTTGTCAATCACACTGAAAATGCGGTCAATTTTAGTTTTAGATGCTCGTATGGTTACCAATAAGGTTGTTCCTAAATCTTGAATATCGTCTATTGAAATATTAGCTAATTCCTCTCGACGACATGCTCCACAAATACCAAAAATTAGTGCAACCTACAATAAATAATCATATTAACATAATAGTCTAAAATAAAATAAAAACAATTAACTTACTTTTATCAGAAGATATAAATTATCTGGAGCATCTACTAAAAATAATTCTATTTCTTCCCTGGTTAGAATTTTTGATTTTTTTGGTTTATAACCGTCTGATTTCCGTTTTAAGAATGTTATCAATCTTGAATATCTAGCGATGTTTATATTATTGTGCAAATTTACAGTTGCTTTTAACATCGAATAATATGACCATAGAGACGACGGCTTACGGCATTTGGACTTTTCCAGAAAAAATGCAAGAAATACATTTTCTGTATAGTTACAGTCTATAACATTCTTCAATTTGCACCAGCTAACAAATTCATCGTAGACCTTATCGTATATTCTCTTAGATTTGGCGGGTAGTAAACTTAATTTTGCATCTTCTGCTGCTTTAAAAATTTCCGGTGGTATTCCGGAAACTATTTCATCGTCACTACTGTCCATTACATAAACAAAATATATAAAACTTCTTCGAAAATATACTAAGAAACTTGCAATACGTGTAGTTAACTGTAAATAAAAATGGCGTCTACCTATTCTTGTCCTATTGACTTGGTTACTATGGTAACGCGCCTAGGTATATAGATTATTGTTATTTTATCATCTTATTAGTTTCAATAAGACTTATTTTTATTTAACTATACAAATGATTTGGTAGATTGTTATACAAGGTGAGTTATAATAATATCGAGGTATAAAATTTATCCAACTTGAAACATTTATAATAACCTACTCAAAAAAGGTGAAAAATAGAAAATAAAACATATTTATTAATAAACTATCATTAATACGGTCGTGCATAAAATTTTGTATATTTATTAATAAATGACTATTAAAACGGTCGTGCATAAAATATTGTATGTATCTCGGGCGTAAACAGCGTTTATGGACCTTACGTGTTAATAGCCCTCGCCTAGCGGCTCGGGCTCTTACTTACACGTTGCGGTCCATAAACGCCTGTTTTACGCCCTTGATACATAAATAACTATTATTACTTGACATTTTCGTTACCCACTAAACTTAAAACATTTCAAGTCTTTTTGTAACGTTTTTATAGTCTTTTCTTGATATATTTTTAAAATGGTACTTAAATTTCCGATAGATGTTTAAATTTTAACATCATTTATTAACATCAATCTCATATATGTGCAACTGAAGTTTCATGTACGCAGCAATACTTGCGTTAGCAGGTAGAAATTAGAAAATTAATATATTGTATGGTTTTTTTAAAGAATAAAAATGTAATAATTAGTGATTTTCCAAGATACTTTTTGAGTTTTCTTAAAAAATGTTTAGTAGCAGCATAGCAGCGCTTGCTGGACTTTTGTGTCTATGTATGTTGTTTTGCAAGCTGGATGGATAATAAAGAATAAGCTATAACTACTACGGTTTTATATACTATTATACAGGGTGTTTATTAAGTACTTGTACAAACTTTAAATGGTGAATCTTTAACTTATTTTAAGGCAAAACGTTCATATGAACACATGTCCTAAACCTCTTAACTTTTGAGCTACAGGGTGGTAAAGTTTTCAGAAAAAAAATTTTTTTTTTCTAATAACTAAGAATATTGCAGATATTTTTACGAAATTTGGTACACGTCTCCTACGCATTATAATGCATTTTTTAATGTACAAATAATTTTATTATTTCTACCAGTGGCGCCCGTACGGGTTTCGTATTAAATATTTTTGCCGAAAAAAATAGTACGCCACTGCTTCATCTTAAAATAACAAATATTTTTGCAATCCTCATTTAGTTTTGAGCAAATTTGGTCTGATGAATTTTTTCTCTGACGCATAGTTTTCGTCCGACGCATAGTATTCTGCATGGAACAAGTGAAAAATGTGTCTTTTATTGATCAATATTGTTATGTGATAAACTTAGATTATTTACAGACTAAGACTAAACTACTTTTACAAATAAGTTAATAACATTTACAACAATTGCTGAAAATGCCCACCGCCTACTGCAACGCATGCGACAATTCGCCTTAACATTGATTGACGTACTCTTTCGAATATACCTGGTGTCTGATTAATAATGGCACACGATTTAAATATCATGTTTCTTAGATCTTGCTCATTTTGAACGGATGTTTTGTAAACTAGTGTCTTTAAGTGACCCCACAGAAAAAAATCCAGAGGATTTAAATCTGGTGATCTGGGAGGCCAGGCTTGCGGTCCCGTTCTTCCTATCCAACGATTAGGATAATTCTCGTTCAGAAATTGACGTGCAGCCAAACAAAAGTGTGCCGGTGCGCCATCGTGCATGATCCACATCCTGTTTCTGGTAGCCAAATCAATTTCTTCTAAATGTTCAGGAAGCTCATGCTCCAAAAATCTTCTGTACTCTTTGCCATTTAGCCTTTGTGGATGAATGTAAGGTCCAATAAGGTGATCCCCGATAATTCGACCCAAATATTTAGAGAAAAACGATCTTGGAAATTATTTTCTATGATAGCATTGGGATTATCCTCAGACCAGATATGGTTGTTGTGGAAGTTCATGATGGCGTTTCGAGAAAAAGAAGCTTCGTCTGTAACAAGTACATGGCCTAAGAAATCCGGGGTTGTTAATAATTTATTTCGCAGCCAAACGCAGAAATCTACTCTGAGAGGAAAATCTCTAGGTAGTAATGCCTGTACACGTTGAATATGATAAGGATAAAGTTGTTGAGATTTTGAAATTTGCCACACAATTGTATGCGTAATATTCAATTCATGAGCAATTTTCCTTGCACTAGTTAGCGGGTCTTCTTCAATTCTATTTAACACAGCTTCTTCAATTTCAACTGTTCGAACTGTCGCAGGCCTTCCTGGGATATCAATTGTTCTTTTAAAGCTGCCAGTTTCACAAAGTCTTGCGTGAATATTAATGAAAGTTTGGACATGTGGAACCACCCGTTGAGGAAATCGGGCTTGATACATTCTTTTTGCAGCCATTCCGTAGACGAAATGAATATCTGCCATTTCTGCATTGGTATATTCGTACATTTTGAACACAATAATAGACAATAAATTATTACATACATACATTTTTAAATGACAAAAACCATGATCTTTTTTTTAAATAAACTGTCATGACTGATTCCGCTACTATGGAAACCTCTCGGTTGTTTGCAAGGCTTGCTATGCATGTATGTACAATTGTACATTTTAGCAATTTGACTCTGAAATAAAACGGATTTTATTTTTTAAAGCGTAAACTATGCATCGAACGAAAAAACTCAGGAGATTAAATTTGTTTAAAAATAAATGAGGATTTCAAAAATAATGTTGTTTTAAGATGAAGCAGTGGCATACTATTTTTTTCTGCAAAAATGTTTAATGCAAACCCCTTAGGTATGGACGCCACTGGTAGAAAACATAAATTTGTACATCAAAAAATGCATCTTAATGCATAGTATACGTGTACCAAATTTCGTAAAGATATCTACAATAGTCTTACAGTTATTGGAAAAAATAGATTTTTTTCTGAAAACTTTACCACCCTGTAGCACAAAAGTTAAGAGGTTTAAGACACGTGTTCATATGAACTTT